TACTTAAGAATAACGCAGGTAAGTTCAGGCTTGCTGTCCATGAGAGTCAAGAACGCTATCCCGAATGACTCTAGCGAATTTCTTGTTGTTAACCAAAGTTGAATAAAGAAACCTATAAGAAAACCAATGAAAGCAGGACAGCTAAATCCAAGAGGCTCTATCTTAAACCAAAACAGGAACTCTGATGTAGATACCAATCAAGGTCAGCGATGGTTCCAATGCGTACCCACTTAAAGCACTGACAATCAAACTTAATTAAACCACTTGTAAGCTTAATGACACCTATGTCAATAAACCTATTAAAAAGGTAATAACACTCAAAAACCTAGCTGTTAACACTTATATTGGTCAACCTTGATCTTCAACCTAAACATAACGAAACCCAACGCACAAGAGAACGCTCAAGAACAAACAAACTTGTCATCAAAAATCCCTATGATAATGATGTCAAAAAGCAACCACAGAACTACTTCATAACTCAAGGAAAGTTTAGAGAGCAAATCTCAAAAAATCGGTAAGGTTTTAACCCACAAAATTAAAAAGCACGTAAAAGCCTGGAAATTCAAGCGTCCTCTATCGAAAAACGAAAAGCTCTTTCGAACCGAAAATTTCTATAAATAAAGGTCAGCTGCTGTAATACCACATTAAAGTAGAAACTCAGAAGAATCGATAATTCCTTAGTTTAAATTTTTGTGACGTCAAGTAAGAACCGAGAATAAAGCCGAATCGGATTTGTGCCTCGCTGTGCGATCGACGTGCGTTCCATGTGCGATGCCAAATTTCGACAAAATTATCAACTCGCTCCGCAAGCGGCCTTATGGCTAGCACGTTTTTTTCCTTTAGATCCAAAAGTAGCTAAAAGTTGCCAAGAAATGGACAAGTTATGAAGACACCAACTTAGCATCAAGCATAAAAAATGTTTTGGAGTTTGAAATGGTTTCCTTTTATCGAACGATAAAAGAATTAGGTTCGGCTTTAATATGTTATGGAGAATTATTTTGATGAGATCTCGTAGGTAACACTCTCCCCGGACTAGGTGATTCCATAACTGAGAAAGTCAGGGGAAAAATAATGCAGGGAAAATAATTTATCATCTCTCGCGCGACCTAGAAACATTTTCATTGCTGCAGCAATTTTCTATCCTCTAAAGTGGAAGAACAACAGTGCAACCTTTCCAAATATATATCATTCAGCTAGAAATTCAATGATATAATGACATGTTACAAAAAACGTTTGATGTTTGTAAATTGCATTTTAATTTTAGGTGACTCCCAGCTAATTTTAATAGTAGCCCTGTAGTTTCCAAAGGCACAGTGGTGAAATGAGAAAAATTTCTTTCTGAACGAGTACAAGAAAATCAAAACAACGATGGGTTTACTTGCAATACTTGTTTTAATTTTTTCTTAAACTGAGTATATAGCATTAGCATTCTGTTTTCCGACACAAGTGTCATTTGGTTCACACTTTTCAAAATCCTTCGTAACGCACTTGTTTGGAAACTCGTGGCCGGCAAGAGCCTCGCCTGCTTCGGGTCCTGACCAACATTCTCCTACAAAAAAGACGAAAATATCAACAATTAAATTTAACATATGATGGTTTGGTTGCGTGGCAGCTCAGTTCGTGTCATTACGTTGTTTCCTTAGAAAATAATTTTGTTTTGTGTTACATCCACAGGTACAAATGGGTACCTAAGATATGCTGTTTACATGCAAAGGAGTTAGAGGTGATGTGGATACATAGCACTGAAACAAGGAGAAGTTCTGGTCATTTTATTAAAGCCTCTAGTGTCTTGTTGTTAGAGTTAGGATTAGGGTTGGGGTAAGGGTCATGTTGTTGTTGTTTCTTGAAACCAGTGATAACCAGGCGGTGTGCGTCACGACCCACAAAGGTTTATGGCTAAAACTGTTTATGTGCCTCATTTCAATCGTGACACGGTCGAGTTCGCATCTCGTGAGAGAAATGAATCAAAACCGGGGATCAAAACACTGCTTCCTTTTCTGAAAAACACTACAGGAGAGAGCGATTTGGATAACTCTCAAGATCTCATAGTGGCCTCGGATGCTTACTATTGGCTTCATAAGATAATTTCAATAAGTTTATCGCGATTCAGAGACGGACAAAGGTGCGACTTTAGGCGGCGATTTCCTGCTTCCCAGAAGATAGTGCTGTGCTTATATGTATATATTTAACTCAGAGTGAAAGATATCTGTAGTTCATACCTGGATTTGCTTAAATAAAAATTCGTCCATTTAATAGTAACGTTTTATTAACCCGGTAAGAAGGGGGAGCGGCGAACAAAGAGCAAGGTGAGATACAGCTAGAGAAATCGTGCATCGTCTCTCATAACAATTTTATTTTCATCGACAATTTTATATTATTTTGCAAACAGTGACTGTTTGCAATCCTTATGAGCAAATGAAACTTCTATAGGCAAGGGAAAAACAGACCAAAAGTAGCGCCCGCACAGCTACAGCACAATAGGAATTTCACCGAAGCTACGGCCGCAGAAACAATCCACGACTCTTGTTTGTACGTTCATTAAAGTGAGTGCATTGTATCGATTTTGTTATAAACCTAACCTCACAGTTTTAAAATCCTGTATGATGTCGTCTAGATCTTCGATAATGGTTTTGTGTTTTGGTAGAGATTTATTCCCTCGCGTAAGTTTACCTGAAGATTTGCATACAAACAGAACACACTGCATGCAAATTATTTCAAAGACAAGCTTTCAGTTTCCGCTTTGGATTATCAAAAATGTTTTGCTTCTAAAGGTTATCACAACATTCAAACTTATTTACTCTTCGTAGATTTTGCGTTACCCACTTCACGTCGGCTTTCGCTTAAGTCAGTTTCTCAGCCCGTTTTCAGGCAGTTGTGCTAAATGTTTTGCGTCTAAAGGTTATCACAATATTCAAACTTATTTACCTTTTCTGGCTTAAAATGAAACAAACTCTTCGTGGGTTTTGCGTTACCCACTTCACGTCGGTTTTCGCTTAAAAGTTTCTCAGCCCGTTTCCAGGAAGTTGTGCTACTTCGCTGAGACAATCTCTTCATTCCAAGACACTTTCAACGCCTCATAACGGGGCGACTATCAGGGGTAGACCCGAGTAGACCCCGAAATTTACAAAGAAGAAAGGTTGAAGAAAGGGCAAAAATTACAATCAAATCATCATGGCGGCTTGCACATGACCGAGCAATTCAAACTTGTCACAAACGTTCAAGAAAGCAAAATATATAAAAGTAACGCAGCTGCTATCAAGATAAAGTGTTCCAACAAAACTGTAGTTTCCAAAGGCACAGTGGTGAAATGAGAAAAATTTCTTTCTGAACGAGTACAAGAAAATCAAAACAACGATGGGTTTACTTGCAATACTTGTTTTAATTTTTTCTTAAACTGAGTATATAGCATTGGCATTCTGTTTTCCGACACAAGTGTCATTTGGTTCACACTTTTCAAAATCCTTCGTAACGCACTTGTTTGGAGACTCCTGGCCGGCAAGAGCCTCGCCTGCTTCGGGTCCTGACCAACATTCTCCTACAAAAAAAGACGAAAATATCAACAACTAAATTTAACATATGATGGTTTGGTTGCGTAGCAGCTCAGTTCGTGTCATTACGTTGTTTCCTTAGAAAATAACTTTGTTTTGTGTTACATCCACAGGTACAAATGGGTACCTAAGATATGCTGGTTACATGCAAAGGAGTTAGAGGTGATGTGGATACATAGCACGGAAACAAGGAGAAGTTCTGGTCATGTTATTAAAGCCTCTAGTGTCTTGTTGTTAGAGTTAGGGTTAGGGTTAGGGCAAGGGTCATGTTGTTTCTTGAAACCAGTGATAAACAGGCGGTGAGCGTCACGACCCACAAAGGTTTATGGGTAAAACTGTTTATGTGCCTCATTTCAATCGTGACACGGTCGAGTTCGCATCTCGTGAGAGAGATGAATCAAAACCTGGGATCAAAACACTGCTTCCTTTTCTGAAAAACACTACAGGAGAGAGCGATTTAGAGAACTCTCAAGATCTCATAGTGGCCTCGGATGCTTACTATTGGCTTCATAAGGTAATTTCAATAAGTTTATCGCGATTCGGAGACGGACAAAGGTGCGATTTTAGGCGGCGATTTCCTGCTTCTCAGAAGATAGTGCTGTGCTTATATGTATATATTTAACTCAGAGTGAAAGATATCTGTAGTTCATACGTGGATTTGCTTAAATAAAAATTCGTCCATTTAATAGTAACGTTTTATTAACCCGGTAAGAAGGGGGAGCGGCGAACAAAGAGCAAGTTGAGATACAGCTAGAGAAATCGTGCATCGTCTCTCATAACAATTTTATTTTCATCGACAATTTTATATCATTTTGCAAACAGTGACTGTTTGCAATCCTTATGAGTAAATGAAACTTCTATAGGCAAGGGAAAAACAGACCAAAAGTAGCGCCCGCACAGCTACAGCACAATAGGAGTTTCACCGAAGCTACGGCCGCAGAAACAATCCACGACTCTTGTTTGTACGATATGATAACCGTCACGAATATAGGGACATTCCATGACCACTTTGCCCACTATGAGAAAGTTAATGTTTGGTGTAGTTGGTGTCGTTAGTGTAGTTGGTGTAGTATATGTAGTTGATGTAGTATGTGTAGTTGGTGTAGTTTGTGTAGTATGTGTAGTTGGTCTAGTATGTGTAGTTGGTGTAGTATATGTAGTTGGGGTAGTATATGTAGTTGGTGTAGTTAGTGTAGTTGGTGTAGTATGTGTAGTTGGTGTAGTTAGTGTAGTTGGTGTAGTATATGTAGTTGGTGTAGTATATGTAGTTGGTGTAGTATGTGTAGTTGGTGTAGTATATGTAGTTGCTGTAGTTGGTGTAGTATGTGTAGTTGGTGTACTTGGTGTAGTTGGTGTAGTATGTGTAGTTAATATAGTTTGTGTAGTATATGTAGTTGGTGTAGTATGTGTAGTTGGTGTACTTGGTGTAGTTGGTGTAGTATGTGTAGTTAATAGAGTTTGTGTAGTATATGCAGTTGGTGTAGTATGTGTAGTTGGTGAAGTTAGTGTCATTGGTGTAGTATATGTAGTTGGTGTAGTTAGTGTAGTTGGTGTAGTATATGTAGTTGGTGTAGTTTGTGTAGTTGGTGTAGTTTGTGCAGTTGGTGTAGTATATGTAGTTAGTGAAGTATGTGTAGTTGGTGTAGTTGGTGTAGTTACCGTAGTTGGTGTAGTATGTGTGGTTGATGTAGTTAGTGTAGTTGGTGTGGTATATGTAGTTGGTGTAGTATGTGTAGTTGCTGTAGTATATGTAGTTGGTGTAGTATATGTAGTTAATGTAGTATGTTTAGTTGGTGTAGTATGTGTAGTTGGTGTAGTATGTGAAGTTGGGGTAGTATGTGTAGTTGGTGTAGTATAAGTAGTTGGTGTAGTTTGTGTAGTTAGTGTAGTTGGTGTAGCATGTGTAGTTGGTGTAGTATATGTAGTTGGTGTAGTATATGTAGTTGGTGTAGTATATGTAGTTGGTGTAGTATGTGTAGTTGGTGTAGTTTGTGTAGTTGGTGTAGTTAGTGTAGTTGGTGTAGTATGTGTAGTTGGTGTAGTTAGTGCAGTTCGTCTAGTTACTGTAGTTGGTGTAGTATATGTAGTTGGTGTAGTATATGCAGTTGGTGTAGTATGTGTAGTTGGTGTGGTTTGTGTAGTTGGCGTAGTTAGTGTAGTTGTTACACAAAACTACACCAAACTACACCACCTACATCAAACTAAACCAACTACACACACTACACCAAACTACACCTACTACACCAAACTATACCAAACTACACCTAACTACACCAACTACACAAAACTACACAAAACTACACCAACTTCACCAAACTACACCAACTACACCAAACCACAACAACTACACAAAACTACACCAAACTACACTAACTACAACAACTACACCAACTACACCAACTACATCTACTACACCAACTACACATACTACACCAACTACACATACTACACCAACTACACATACTACACCAACTACATATACTACACCAACGACATATACTACACCAACTACACTAACTACACCAACTACATCTACTACAGCAACTACACCAACTACATATACTACAACAACAACAGTAACTACCTTAACTACACATACTACACCAACTACATATACTACACCAGCTGCACAAACTACTTCAACTACATATACTACACCAACTACACATACTATGCACTAACTACATATAGTATACTAACTACACATACTACACCAACTACATATACTATACCAACTACACTAACCACACCAACTACACATACTACACCAACTACTGTAACTACATCAACTACACTAACTACACCAACTACGCAAACTACACATACTACACCAACTACATATACTACACCAACTACACATACTACACCAACTACACATACTACACCAACTACACTAACTACACCAACTACGCAAATTACACCAACTACACATACTGCATCAACTACATGTACTACACCAACTACACTAACTACACCAACTACACCAAACATTAACTTTCTCATAGTGGGCAAAGTGGTCATGGAATGTCCCTATATTCGTGACGGTTATTATGAACCCATTACTCATTGACGTGAGTGCATTGTATCGATTTTGTTATAAACCTAACCTCACAGTTTTAAAATCCTGTATGATGTCGTCTGGATCTTCGATAATGGTTTTGTGTTTTGGTAGAGATTTATTCCCTCGCGTAAGTTTACCTGAAGATTTGCATACAAATAGAACACACTGCATGCAAATTATTTCAAAGACAAGCTTTCAGTTTCCGCATTGGATTATGAAAAATGTTTTGCTTCTAAAGGTTATCACAACATTCAAACTTATTTACTCTTCGTAGATTTTGCGTTACCCACTTCACGTCGGCTTTCGCTTAAGTCAGTTTCTCAGCCCGTTTCCCGGCAGTTGTGCTAAATGTTTTGCGTCTAAAGGTTATCACAACATTCAAACTTATTTACTCTTCGTAGATTTTGCGTTACCCACTTCACGTCGGCTTTCGCTTAAAAGTTTCTCAGCCCGTTTCCCGAAAGTTGTGCTACTTCGCTGAGACAATCTCTTCATTCCAAGACACTTTCAACGCCTCATAACGGGTAGACCTATCAGGGGTAGACCCGAGTAGACCCCGAAATTTGCAAAGAAGAAAGGTTGAAGAAACAAGTTGACCGCAATAATCCGATAAAACCGCTACCAGTAACCAGGAATGAATCCAAGAAGAAAGGCAAAAATTACAATCAAATCATCATGGCGGCTTGCACATGACCGAGCAATTCAAACTTGTCACAAACGTTCAAGAAAGCAAAATATATAAAAGTAACGCAGCTGCTATCAAGATAAAGTGTTCCAACAAATTTCCACGGCGGTATGGTGTCGAAATTACCTACACAAGCTTGGAATAAAGCGAAAATTTCACCACATATACCTCGGAAAACGGCTCTTTCCAAGCGCATTGTGATTGGTCGAATCTCGTGACGCACAGCGCCTGAATGATAACAAAACATTTTCTTCCCATGGGTTTGAGTCCCACACAAGAACCGTTCAAGCAGTCGCGTGAGTCTGTTAAAAATTTTTCGCTTTGGCTCATTCAAAAGGAAGCGGCTTGTTTTCTTTTTGAACTAGAGAGAACTGCGTCACCCATAGGTTAATTTGGGTCGAGCGTCAAACCTCACAGGTGCTGGCATTGGTTTCGACACAAGTGAAGTTCAATGTTTGACCCGAGTCTGAGAGTTAAACGACAGTGCAGCATTGTATTTTTACATATACTGTATTATAACAAACACGCCTACCGTAATATTGAATACCAAAATGCGAATATCGCTTTTCCTTAGCTTCTTTTGCGCAGCGACAAACTAAGTCTTCAATAAAGGTGTCCCAGTTGCCCCAGTCAATTGGTTTACCGCTATATATTTTGCTTGACTTGTCACGGTCTGTAAAAAGCAGTACTGGAAGCTGTCTGGGTACACCCTTTTTTATGCGATCTTTGTAGCAGCCAATAAACTTAAAGGGCACTGAACAACTTGGATCTGTAAAACAACCATCACTGAGCGCTTTATACGATAATGAATTACTAGATTATAAATTTGACGTTTATGCCTCCCCGCCCATTTTTGTTATTCAAGTTACAATCACGGTATAAAGTATTTGGGAAGGTTTTACAACTAAATAGCATAATTGCCCCTTTCATGGCGTTTATGATAATAGCCAAGGAAGTCCTTTTCCCCTTCGCTAAATAGTTCTCCCCTTCCGGATTCCTTCAGTCTAGTTAATGTTGGGATATGATAGAAAAATCAAGCGTTCAAACACCCTAGGTTTGTTGGGCAAGGAGGCTGGGGAAAGAAGCAAAGGACAGATAAAAAGCTGAATCCTTCCCAGTGATTTTGAGCATGATTGTAGGTGGGCTTGGGATTTTTGTCCAGACCTAGATAGCTCTAGATCGTATATCCTTGACATTCCAGCAAGTAAACCTTGCTCAGCTCGCCTGATACGCGAAAAAGATTCAAGCTACTAAGAGGAATCAGCCGACTGGAGTAAAAACAGTCTGCTTTCGGATATACATTTGATAATTCACGAGATATCAAATTTACCTTGAGTTTTTGCAATGCCGTATACGTAATTGGCCTTTTGTGTACCAATACATTCCAAGTTGTTTGCATTAGGATTGGCCGCACATGTCTGATAGTTTCTGGTCAAACATTTGTTATCGTCACGCCCAATTTTGTTGTATTGGATTTCATCATCTGGACCTGACCAGCATTCGCCTAATAAAGGATTTAGAATTGATTTAGCGAAGAACGGTTTTGCAACAGGACGCAATTCTTGATACCGTGTGGCACGAAATTTTTGCGGGAATTCATTTTTGCGGATTGGCGATTTTTTGTATTTTGTGGGAAGTAATTTTTGCGATTAAGAAAAATTGGTTTTCCTTGCTGGAGATTAATTTGCGATTTTCAGAAAGTACCCAGTACCCACGTGCAAAAGAAAAAAAAAATACTACGGTATGCGTACCCTGTGTAAAACCAGTAATTCATTGTATACCGTTTGATGTTGAATGAAAGAGGCAAGTTGTGATTGAACAGACACGATTTCTTAGTACTGTATTTTTATGTAGCGAATTTTAGTTAGAGAATATTTACTCTGGAGTAATTTTTGCGAAAAAAAAAATGCTTGCGGTAATTGCTATTTGCGAGAACTTTATTTTGCGGATCGCTGGAAAAATAGCAAAAATTAGAACCCGCAAACACTTCGTGCCACACGGTAACTCTAAAATATTAGTATTGGCATCTTTAACGAAGTAACAATATTTCATGAGTAAACAGTTATCATTAAAACAGGGTTGTTGCAGAAATCAAAAAATAATTCAAAACAGTGTGTTGAATTATTTTTTTTCGTGTTACTTAAAAACAGTACTCAGTGCGGCTTCGTGGGTTAAACTCGAGTGTGTCTATAGCTTATAAAGATAGAGAGAATTGAGAGAAATGTGAACACACTAGAAGTAACACAAGTTAGTCAGATGAAAAAATCATATTACTCCTAAAAGAAGTCGAACCTATGTCTTTCTGGTTACTAATCCAGTACAGGAGCTTGAGGCTCCTGTCCAGTAAAATAGCATTGCAATGCATATCCGGCGATTGTTTCCTTCGTACTAAAGCTCGATCATTTGGCGTGGTCTAATGGTGCATGGCTTGGTCAGAAACAGTACTGCTACTTCATATCAAACAAACTTACCAAAAAACTGCAAACCAAAAAAGCGATAGTTGTTCTCGGCTGCTTTCTCTGCGCATCTACAAACCAAGTCTGAGATATAAGAATCCCACTTGCCCCAATCAATTCTTATGTTGCTATAAAGTAAAGATTTGTGATCACGGTCGGTAAACATCAATTTCGGTAACGGACGGGGAAGCACCTCGTTGTCTTTGTAGCATCCAAGTTTGTGAAAAGTCACTTTACAAGCGGGCTCAGCGACTAAGAAACCAAACACATAATAAAGCCTATTAGTTCGATATCCCTGATGCAATTCTGTCCTGTTCTCTCCACCTGGGAATGTTACAATTGTTTTAATCCTGCAATCAGCTTATCATCGCCATCACCGGCATAGGGGTAAATGGACAAGAAGTTTGAGAGAATTAACGTTAGGTTATTACAAACAGCAGTTAGTACGATGCAGGTAAAGCTTTAAACTCTATATTAGCTTGTGGCTATGTTACATGCTTTCCTTTCATTGTCGCGTCCGTTTAACCTCAATAACCGAATAAAGAGCGAAAATATTTGGTAAAATATGGATTCAAATGACATGCTGAAACACCTCAAGGTAACTTGCCTGCGTCAACGTAGGCAACAAGGTAACCCAACATTCACCATTCCATTTTTCCCTCGAAAATTTTCAAGTTTCTCTTTAAATGTCTCTCTATTCATTGCAGTTCTACAGTGTGTACAGTCTTGTTTTTCTGTTCTATCTACTAAGCAGGTTTATATACCTTATGATATATTTTCGATGTATTATTCATTCAAAATGTTTCGCGTTTTCGATGTGGCTTCAATCCCGCGGCTAATTAATTGTAACCAGCCGGCGCTTATCATTCTAGGAAATATACAAACGATACGCATCCTCGTTTCTAAACAGCGGCACGGCAGCCTCTTACACCAGCTGTTTACGCGTGAATGAATTTTAAAAACGTGAAATAGTTTACACCTACACGAAGTCGAAAAAGGTAAAGGTCTGACAGAAACTGAACGAACGAAATACAAGATATTGCTTGATAAATGTAATCTGCTTTTTCTACCTGCAAAAAAACATCTGTTTACATCCTTAGCGAAAAAGCACCGAGAACCAGGCAATAGGAGATAAGATTGTTACTTAAAAATATTTTGCATGAATAATAAAACAATAATTGAATTAATTCATCTTTCGTATGATATGAAGAATTACGCGGATCTCAGAGGCTCTTATTCACGTCTGCCCTCTGCGGATGTTATACTCCTCGCAACAGTCGATCAGCATAATTCTTCACATCATACTCAGCCTCATTTTGTAATTGTTAAGAACTAGTCTTGAGCCTTGCCTTATTAGGCACTATGCTTACCTTGTAATTCAACACTATAAACAAAGTTTGTTTCTTTTTCACCAGCACATTCTTCAGGATCAGAAGGATCACACCGCTGCTTAAGGTCACGTGTAATGCACGTATCCGCTAGACCAGCTCTGTTGTACGTGTCTCCAGTGTTCGGTCCGGACCAACACTCACCTACACGGTTTGAATTGCTAAAGGTTGTTAAATGTTTATTGAATGATACAACGTCCATTTAGTTTGCTTGAGCCAAAGGGCCTGGCTACTACATTTGCAACGTAACATCTTGAAATATTCGGTAACGAAACGAAGGAACATTACATTAGATTGATCGTAACCCTGAACTGTATTTTATGTTGGACGGGCATTCTCACGGGACCACTGTCAGTTAACAGTTTGTAAGTAGATCCCCTCATTGGTTCCTGTCTAAAAAAAAGTTTACTAGGTAATTGCAACGGCGCGTTCTGGCGAGCAACTTAATTTGATTGTTATGGAAAATATTTGGATGATATTAGTTATGTCGGTGCTTGGCAAGCTCGCGAGCTCGGTATCGACACATCAAGTACGGTTTCCCGGGGTCGATTGTTCATCGAGACCGGTTGACACATCGAGATTGATGAACTTGTATCGAGCTCTGTTGCCCAAATAACTAAACTGATCCGTTTTACCATAGGAAATTCCTTTAGAAATTGCTTCTAGATTTAACTTACCATAGAACTGGATACTAAAGAATTGATAATTGAGAACTTTTGCTTCCTTTGCACAGCGACATACAAGGTCCTTCAGATAAGAGTCCCAATTTTGCCAATCAACAGGAATATTAGAGTACTTCTTTACTGATGGGTCTCGATCTGTAAACAGTAGTTCTGGGAGTGGTCTTGGGTTTGACATATCATCCCTAAAGCATCCTACCTTTGTATAGACTGCGGAACAGGTTGTAACTAAGAGAGAAAAGTAGAGATAAGTAAAGATTGGAAATAAAATAAACACCCTAACATCAACTTAAGTAAAATAAGTACATCGGGTTAGCTTGATATCGCCATCATCATTGCTAGCATTCCGGCTTCTGTGCAATCTACCCAGTTTGCGCTACTTCCTATCTGGAAGACTTGGGGATCACACTTCGTCTCGTCTCTACCCTTCGTCTAATTTGGCAAGGGTTGCCTTACAGGGAGAACAAGACGAAAACGAGAACGAAAACGGTGGGGATCCTATCGAGCCTCGCTGGCTTAGAAAGACTTACTGACAGAAATACATGTCTTTAAAAATGTTAATCATGCAAATTTCATGGTCGTAAAGTCAACTTCAGTTTAGGTTACAAAACATTTAAAACTTACACAGCTCCTGCACTGCTAGAAAGTCACTAACACATGTACGTATAATAAGTTTATTACCACTTGAATCAAATGAAAGATCCAGACTTGGAGGAGAAGGAGAGGAAGAAGAAGGTGGTGCAATTGGGACCTCTAAAAAAGAAATACATAGGCAGCTTAATCATTTACTCGTTCGCTTATTTAAACTTTTATGAACATTATCGACCGGGTAAGAAATATTCGAGTTTAAACACTACTGTCCCTAGTTATTGAAATCACCCAAAAGCAGTAACAAGGATTGCTGTTGCCAAAATTTTGGAATTTTGAAGAAAAACTTACCATAAAACTCAAATTACTGCAGAAAGGGCAGTAAAAATATTTCCAGGGCTCAGTTTCTTTTACTGCCTACATGATATTTTTGTATTTTTTGTTATTTTTTACAAAAAAACGCAAGTAGCTTGCCTTGACGTCTCGTATTTAAAGTCTTCTTTTAAATTTTGATCAATTAGAGGAAGTTGCCTGGTTGAGTTTGTAAGAGTTTTCTTCTGCTTTCCTTAGGTCGAGAGCCTATCTACCAGAACATGGACAAAACAAGGATACCCTTTCCAAAAGTTGGATGATTGAAGCCTGACCAAGTCTCCTGTTTTCTCAGCATAAATACTGGCTAAAGAAACTGGTAACAAGAGGAGTGCACTCTTTATGACGCATAGTAGGGAACGACACAGCAAGTGTGCACAAAATAAGGCGTCCTCCTTATAGAGAGCCAAATATAATGACTGGCCATCTCTTGATCTGGTTTAAGGGAGGTTTCCGTTTAGAAAGAGTTGAGGCTGTATTTATAGAAAAACCAAACCTGGACATTCACGTACGATCATTTCGTTAAATTCCATCGAGATACATGGCCTACCAGCAAGCCCCCAATTTATGGCGAGCGAATGAAGCGAGCCGCGAGAAAATGCGAGAGCGAGCGGCGAACCCGCGGCACTCGCTTGACTTCTTGCGACTCCCCCAATGGAGAGCTTGCTCGCATGCTACGAGATACATGAACTCCATGGAAATACATGGAGTTCTGTAGAATTCCATGGAGCTATTTTACACGGGTTGTTTTACCTTTGCTAGTGTTGACTTGACAGAGAGCCTGGCTTAAGATGCCAACTATATCTGGAAGATTATCGTAATTTTCAATACGGAATACATTTTCTTTATCTGGATCGGTAGCCATCAAATTCAACTCCTCATCATTGACCTGATTCCCCACTCCAACCACTATGATGGTTACGCCAGCTGATTCAAGGCTTTCAGCTGGCATCTTTAACAGCTCCAGTCCTACCATTCCATTCAGCGGCGTCGTTACACCATCGGTGATTATGAGAAGCCGTTTTTTTCTACCTTGTTTGTTAATCCTGTTAAACATCTCAAGAGCTTTATTTAATGCCAGTTCAGTTCGAGTAATACCATTTTGATACGAGTTTCTCACGGTTTCAAGCCTTAGATTCAGACCATCGCGATCACTGGTCGGTGAAATGGCTTCATTGGCAACCTGGCTAAAATCAATGACCCCTATGCGACTTTCAGGGTTTAATTTAAGTAATTTTTCAGCCAGCGATCGGGTAAAATCCACACTCTTTTCCCAGTTTACTTTAAGCACGCTTCCTGATGCATCCAGTGCCAGAATGATATCAACAGGAGAATTACAACAACCTTCTGACAACCGAAAACAAAAAGATAAATTTTAGTTCTTCGTGTCAACCTTCTAAACTAGAAAATGACTTTAGTTAGTCTTTGACAATCACGTGAAGCGTAGCCGGAGAAAAAGCCAACGGTAAGTAAACAAAAGGGAAAATGCCGATTAACTACTAAATCGAAGACTACAAGATATTGCTATATATATTAATGTATAAAGTAAAATATGGCCTCGCACCGAGTATTGTTGACGAACTATTTAAGTAGAAAAACACTTACTAGTTATTCACTAAGAAACGACTAAGAAACAGTGGTTTTGATATTCCTACTTTTACGCTATTAACTATGGAAAACATTCTCTTAGATATCAAGAACCTCATATATGGTCGAAACTACATAATAAATTGAAAGGCTCCTCGAATATTGAATCTTTTAAAAAGAATATTAGGAAAAACAATAGC